TGCTGCTTTGATTGAAAGCTTGGTACAATATTACTTAACAACGCCTTTGAAGTAACAGCCAGACATGAATGTGTCAGTCGAGTTTCTTCCCTTCAAAGATGTCCTTGCTCCCCAGTTTCGCTTGAAACAGAGGACTGCACGAATCTTTCGACATGGTATGGTGTATCAAGCCCCAAGCCGGAATGGGGAACTTCTCGCAAAGAAAGCTCGGAACAGCGCTGCTCTTCGTCAAGAGAGCCCTGGAGGCCCGCAGCCTTGCATCCTTGTCTTCTGCATTTTCCACTGCAGCTTCCTTTTCTTCCTTGGGAACATTGACTTACTAGGTGTGCAGAAAACACAGGAAAACATGTTCAAACATGATCTGTGACATACTTGGTTCCGAGTGACAGGGGCATCATTCGCTTCATCCTCCTCGTCCATCGCTGCCAAGAGCTGCTGAGCAGCAGCACAAGCAGGGTCGATCTCACGATCATCTTCATCGTAGTTCTCATCATCCTACATTTGTTTACCGTTCAGAGAGAAGCAACAAAAATCACATACACAGACACAAGCATTCTTTTCCGCTCATTCTCTCACACACCCCTTCCATGCATCACAGGCAGCATTTAGTAACAACCCTCCTCGCACATCTCTTCATTGTCATCCTCTGCTTGCTTGCCCTTCTTACTCTTCTTCTTTGCTTCGTCCCGTTGGACAAGCAAAGCTTCGATCTTCTGTCGCAAGCTTTCGTCCGTGCTCTCCATGACTGAAGCTGCCGTCATCAGCTTCCTGATCTTCGCTGCTTTGGTTGCATTCTTCGGCATCTTCATGTGCTCCCCCGCAAGAAGCTCTGTCAAGGCGGAGGAGGACACATCCAAGATGCTCTCGTTCAGGAAGAGGAACACAAGCAAGCTGTGGCACCGGGGGCCTCTCCTCAACACAAATCCTGGCATCTTCTGTTCCAGCACAGGATCGAAGACGTGAACAGTGTACTGGCAGATCTGCACCTGCTGCCCGGCATAGCAGTGTGGATTGCAACTCACGGCAGTCACCCTGAACACCCAGCAACCTCATAATGCCAAGCATCTTCGTCACACGTCAAGTGCACCGCTTGGAACATGTGCCTTGATTGTCGGGCGTGAATTCGGATGTCTCTTTGCTTCTACACAGAAAAGTCTTACTGCTGTGTCATCAATCACCTGGGTCCAAGAATCGGCCCGTGCCTGAAAACCAGGGGCTTTGTCGCCTCGGACTCGTCGGCGTGAAAGCAGTCCTTCAGCGGCCTACTTGCCTTCCCGGCCCAAGAGCTGGAATGGTCATCCACTGCATCAGCCGGAAGCATTCCCTGGAATCGGTAGGGGAGCTCTGACAAGCACACAGCCTCAGATTTTGTGAAGAGAAAATGTTACCCCAACATGTACTTTCGGCGAAAATTACACACCCACACTATGTCTAATGAGTGCCACCAAGCAACATGAACCAGAGCAGCTGTACAGCCGATGCTCAGGAAGAAAAGCGAACCCTTTCGAAACAAAGTTCCTTTGGGCAAGCAACTTGCTACCCAGAAGCTTTCAGCAGCCTCCACTGGGCATTGCCCCTTCCTCACTACATGCAGGAATGCCAACAAACTTTGCACGGAAGAACAGGGACAGGACAAAACAGCAAGCAACCGGCCCTGCTTCACTCAGACAAGACTCTCAACAGCACCCTTCCAAGCAAGGAGGCAGTTCAGGCCGTGATGCGTCAAATGATAGGCGGACGTCGAAGCAAAAGGCTTCAAGATTTCCTCAATCTTGAAATTTTGACCTCGCGGGCGATTCGTCACTAAAAGGTCATGCTGATGAAAGCACAACCAGAAACAGAACCATGGACCAAGCAGCTAGGGCTTGCTGCACTCGGTCTCCACATCTTCTGCTTCAGGCCTCTGACTGCTTTGCCTTGCCAGTCCTTCTCTTCAAGGGCTGTGGTTGCCGGGCTTTCTTTTTCATGACAGATTCGCCTCATGAGGGCCCGCGTGGCCACACAGGCGAGGTTCGCCATGCTTCCATCCTGGGGAGGCCCCCCACTCTTCTTGATGCTGTGTTCCATTTCTCTGAAGACGGACTCCAGATTGGCCGACTGGCTAAAAGGAGGGTGCCATGCTCGAACAACTTCTTGCACCGTCTCGGTCCATGCGAAGCTGCTCTCTTCCATCGTCAGCATCACCTCCCTATAGTTCTGAAAACCCGTGTGCATGACGGACTGCCTCAGAAGCTGCTGTCCTGCACTGGAGAGCTCCAATGCTTTGACAGCAGCCCACTCCTTCTTCGCCTCCTGCAGGATGCGACTGCGTGCATGCTCGTCCACATTTTCTGCTAGGAGACCAGCAGCCAAAGCGGGGAAGCTGCGAAGGTACAGGCAGTACTCGAGTAGCTCAGCACATGTTGTCAGATAAGCAGTCAACTGCTCCATCATGATTTCATACTCTGCATCGGATCTGCGGAACTTGATGGCGAGATCCTGCTTGCACCCATTTGACGACGATGCACTCATCTAACTACATCACGTTCCATTCTCTGTTGTGTTGCAGTCCGGACTATGGGATGTATCTGCGTGTGTCTGTTTGTGTGTGTGTGTGTTAGAGTCTACCTTTCTGCCCTAAACCCTAAACCCTAAGCCCTCAACCCTCAACCCTAAACCGTGGTGGCAGCTGGCTCTGTCACAGCGGACTCCGAGCAATTTACGTGGGGATTGAGCACACGACCCTAGCAGTGAAGCTTTAGGCAGAGTCACATATTCAGATCGCGGGTACTCCAGTACTACCCATGCCAGGAACTGCTAGCGAGGGCGACGACACACCCTTGCACAAAATCTGGAGGCCGCCCTAAACCCTAATCCTAGCTTAAACCCTAAATAAACCCTAAGCCCTAGTAAACCCTAAACCCTAAGCCGCCTTACACTCACACTCTGAGACTCTGCCTCTCTCT